GAAACCCTAGATCTAAGGCTTTGATACCAACTTGAAAGAAGAAGAAGAATTGTTTACTGTATTACAGGTTTGAAGAGAAGAAAAGAGAGAAAGAGAGAGAGAGAGAGTTAAGAGAGGAGAAAAGAAAGAAGGGGTTCAGTGGTGAATAATCTGCTGCCCCATACACTCCTTTATTTATAGCTTTTAGGATCCTTACAAGAATAGGAAATAAACAAAAAATAGAAACAATAAGGCCATCCAGCCCAACTTAACAGAAATTAGAAACCTCTAATAACAGAAATTAGAAACTAAAGAAATTAGAAACCACTAATAAAAGAAATTAGAAACAACTAGGTGTGGGTATGAAACCACACACACTAGAGCCTGAGTGTGGGTATAGAACCCCACACTCGTGACTAACCAACTATTTCTTCAATTATAATCGGATCAGTTATGGGTTTTAATATTATGTCCTGTTCAGGACATACTATGCAAATATTATGTCCTGAACTGATTAATACCCAAACCAACTTTATAGTACAAAGATACCCCTCATGGTACACTTATAATAGTTTCATATTATCATACTCAAATGTGTCAACTTAATAAATGAGCAAGTTTATTGTCAAATTACAGGTTAAAAAAAGAACTGTCAATTATAATCGGGTCTTACTAAGACAGCTCTTTTGATCTTGATTAATGATTGGGTCAGTTCTAGGTTTCTTAACATATATATTAGTCAATTCAAGACCAGGTCTACCTTAATCTGGACCAAACCCAACCTATTGACAGCATTTCTTGTATTCTCCCCTACCATATTTTTCCTGATGAAACTTAATATTTATAAAAAAGTACCATGTTTGGTACAGTCAGAGGTACGTACTATGACGGCATGGTAGCACTCTGAGTTTCTCGCCCACTGTGTAGTCTTCAAGGCATATGGCACAAGTACTTGAAGTACAGTTATCTTCTAAAACTGTTGTGAATATGAGGCTTGGCATTGCTTTCACTAAACGACTGCTCATGCCATGGAACTCCCTAACATGAGGAGTTTGAGGATGTTCTCGTCTCAGATGGTGTCTGCGAATGTAGAAACAAGTACCCAGCACAATAGACAGGGCCAGTAGAGAAACAAATGAGATGACCATGATAGACCAGGCAGAATTTTCAAATGTTGGAAGAATCCACAGCTCCATGTTAGGACAGCCAACATACTGCTTTAGTATATCACCCGCAGCTTTGGAGATGAATATAGAATGTATTTTAATACCTACTGAACTTCCTGCCACTGCAATTTCATCAGAATCATGGATTAGAAATAAGTAAAGATTCCACAACATATTAGGACAGCCAACATACTGCTTTAGTATATCACCCGCAGCTTTGGAGATAAATATAGAATGTATTTTAATACCTACTGCACTTCCTGCCACTGCAATTTCAACAGAATCATGGATTAGAAATAGTAAAGATTCCACAACATAAGAATGTATGATATAGCCATCCTTTAATAGAACTTAAACTGCTCTAAGAAAGGTACCAAAATATGGTATAGTGAAAAAGATTAATGTCAAGGTGCTTCTAAATTTGCAAGGAATGCCATCTTTTTTGTGGGGAAAGGGGGTTCCAATGGCTTAAGTTATTATTTTAAATATATACCAAGTATAAATAACAGAATTTGCAGCTTACATCATCTAACCTAGTGGATGTGTAAATTTCCAGACCTAACAGCATACATAATATGCTCTAATAATTGCCTTCAAAAACATGACCATCACTGTACAGGTTTCTAACAAATGTAAAAGTAGAATTGGACCTAAAATAGTAGGAAGTCAGATTAGAACATAATACCAGATTGTAGATTTGCCAAGATATTTCCTAAAAGATCAAACAAATTTTGTAATAGGAATATGCTAAGTTTCAAACAATCCTCTTAAAGAACAGTCTTTTTATTGTAGACATAATATTAGAGTAACAAGATGTTAACAACAGTGTGCATAGACAGACACAGTAGTCAGAATCTGATGTGTGCCCAAGAGTCTGACTTGGCAAGATGAGAACACATGGATTCCCAGACACACCTATACACACACACACACACACACACACACATATATATATATATATATTTGATAAACGAATTCTAACATTATACACCTACAAAAAATGGATTCATCTTGTATATATTAGTTATTCATTGTCAAATAAGCAAGGAGATAAAAAGGAAATGTGCAAGTACCCTCAAGAATCCATTGAGCATCGGACTTGGATGCATGTCTGGCATGACACATTGCTCATTAAAGAGAACTTATACAAGCCAAGGTTCAAATTTTCAATATGATATGACCAGTGTTTAGAAAACCGGACCAGACCGGCCGGTTGGATTGGTTGACCGTGACCCGGGGGCTGGCCGGTTCGATCACACCCCAAGAACCATAATGTCTAAAAACCTGGTGAAAATTGGCTAACCATCTGATTTAACCAGAAAACCGTTGAATGGGTCCTGGTTTCATGAAACTGCCTAGGTCACTAAGTAATTAAAATTCTAAATTGAGTGTGACAAGATTTGAACCCATGACCTCTTATTTTTATATATTGCTTAATTACCACTAAACCACCTCTTTATTTGTGCTATTTAATGACTTTATTGTATATATTACTTTATTACACATATTTTAAAGAAAATGTAAATTAAGAGACTTGAACCTTGGTCATTTGCTTTAAAAATTAAGGAATTTTCCATCCATTTACCATATTTAAGTATATTAAAAGTTGTAAAATATATTATATATAGCATTTATATGACCCATAATTTTTTTGATGAATATATGGCCCATAATATATATACATAAATGCCACATCATCACAGTTCGCCCCCGGTTGAACCTCTGACCCGTGAACCTCTCCCTTCTCCAGTTCTATGACCAGTCCAATTCTATGAACAATGGATATGACCCATATCAGGTGTTTCGTATCTAGGAGTGCAACTTGGATGGGCTCAAGTTGGGATTTTTTCAAATTTGAATGGGCCCAGCCCATAGACCCGAGCACAAAACAGTGTACAATGCTAACTCAAGCCAACCCAAGTTGCAGCCCTAATCATATTATATCTTTTACTAGATGGTACACCTATTTTAAGGTATTTTCAGAAACTTTTTTTTAATAATTAAAAGACTGAAAAATAGGGCTCCTCTGAAATTTTCAAAAAAAAAAGTAAAAAATTAAAAATATACAAGGTTCAAAGTATTGATACACCCCTCGATATTTTGAACCTTACATGCAACACTAGGACTCAACAACCCAACCATATTTATAACAAGATAAAGACACTTAGTTCCTTCAACAAACAGTATATTTACCATAATTAGTTTAATCCTCTAACTTCTGTTTGTAGTTATCCTAATTTTCTTTTCCCCCTTTCATTGTACATCAATTTATGTTTGCATTATGTATATCCATATTACTAACTGGGTTTCTAATCCGATATGTTTTTTTTTCCAGTATGCATGAAAGTCAAACTGATTTCAATTTTCCTTCTTCCAATTAGATATTTATTCAAATGTTATAACAAGGAGGATGACAATAGTTACATGAAAGACATACAATTTAAGAATTAGTTCTCCACTGTTTACAAAATCTTACGATTTATGATACAATTCATGATTTAAATCATGAAACCCAAGGGCTTTTATTCGAATCTTTTGTTTGAATCTTTTTTAATCAATTCAATTAAGAATTAGTTCACTTTGTTTTTTTTGGTTTATATTTAGTTTTGTCAGGGGTGACTTGGTTTTGAAGACTTTACTAGAAATTGATTTATTTACACTACTTAAGACAATATATTGAGTTTATTTTTCATTATATATAGGATAAATAGCCATTATATGTGGATTATTTGATTTTCAAATCAAACTTGATTTTTTTATAATTAAACTTGATTATTATCATCATGGACTTCCAGTGTACAAGTGGTAAATTCTATTGTTTTAGGTACATATATGGTAGATATTGATTAAAAATAGGGTAAAATTACTTTTCTGTAAATATTTAGCCCCTGTTTGGGAACACTTTGTTATGGGCCCGAGAATAGGATCTCGTCATGGGTCGGTCACGGGGAAAACCTCCTGTTTTCCCTTGTTCCTCCCTGCTTGATGAACCTATCTTGGCACCCTAATGGTGATTTGTCCAAGAGATCACCTAACTCTCATTGCTCTCTTTCTTGACTGAAATTTTCGATGCCCTTATTCAATATTCTTAGCTCCTTAAATAGGAGATTACAAGAGATAAGAGTCCTACTTTTAGGAAGACTCCTTGCTAATTAGGAAGACTCCCTACTAATCTATCCTACTGAACTATTAAGATAAGATAAGATAAGACTCCCTTAATCTATCCTACTGAACTGATAAGATAAGATAAGACTCCCTACTAATCCATACTACTGAACTGATAAGGTAAGAAAACTGAATAGATAAGATAGGATGAGAACACTAAATTGCTGCTGCTGAGAACACTAAATTATTGTTGCTGCTGCCGATGCCCACATCATTACTCCCCTCCTAGACTACGAGCTTGTCCTCAAGCTCGAATTCAGGATGGGTGTCTTGAAACACAGTCAAAGGAATCCCGGATAGGTGGCATGATTTTGCCCTCCTGGTTCGGGTTCCAATGAAGAGGATTCATCCTCAGACAGCTGTAGTGAGATACCAAGATTTGACCATGCGTAGCTGCATTCTTTGTCGCGGCCAACTACAGCATTAAGGTACTTTGGTTGCCCTGAAGTTGAGTGGGGTGAAACCTCTAACGAGAACAAACTATTCTCTTGAAGACTCTTCAAGGATGTTTGAGTGGAATTCACTCTAAACAATCCAACAAATTGTGAAGGGCAGAAACCTCCATAAAATCTTCCTCAATAAGGTAACGTTTCATGCAAAGAGATTCACCTCACTCTACAAGTGATGTTTGTTATTCTTATATCCAACTTTCCAATCATCTTTTTGAAGAAAACAATATTTGCAGAAGATGTTTGTTATTCTTATATCCGACTTGCCAAGCATTTCTAAGAAAAACAAAATTTAGACAAGAAATCGTGTCCATTGTCTCAATGAAGTTGAAGTAAAAGAAGGGGATTCAATATTAGGAGCACATGAGAAGTTGAAAGTTATCAAAAGGGAAGCAAACCTAGAATTCAGAGACCTTAAGATTAAGATCTGATTTGAGCAAGGACCCAGACCCTATTGCAGAGGGTATTACAACAGGATCAACCCTTCAGGTTGAGCAGTATTCTTAAAGTTATCAAAAGGGAAGCAAACCTAGAATTCAGAGACCTTAAGATTAAGATCTGATTTGAGCAAGGACCCAGACCCTATTGCAGAGGGTATTACAACAGGATCAACCCTTCAGGTTGAGCAGTATTCTTAAAGTACCTTCAGTCCTTGGAGGAGGAACTATCAAAAAGAGAATAGTAAGGATAGAAGCAATGAGAGAACAAAAGTGTTATGCATCTTCAATCTTCTTAATGGAAAAGATAATTCATAACAATGAAACCAAAAAACAAAATGAGATCCCCTTCCTCTTGTTCTTCTTCTTCCTCCTCCTCCTCTTTAAGAGGCTTGTGCCTCCTTGTTCTCAGGAGGTTTATACCTCTTACATTTAACTGTCCTCCCTTTTTCCATCTAATCACCATCTGAAACTGTCCTCCCTTTTTCCATTCTCTCCCATTTGAAATGTAGTTGGATGGGCAGTAGAGTCTGCTGATGAGAATAATTGTTTCTCATCACACACACACACATGATATTCTCTTTTTATCTCCCACTTGAACTACATGAAACAAATTATGATTGAGCCTAATACAAATGATCTCTAGTTATTCCTTACTTAGCCAAAGAATTTGCCAGTCCCATTTACCAATCTCCTTTCCCATTGAATACTTACAACTATATTTGAGGTCAGCGGTCAGCCACTTAAATTTCTTGGTTGCCCCTAGTCCCGCAGGACCCCTGAGTATAAAGCAATAATATGTCCATTTGAATTCCTAAAAACCACCCAATATTCTGGAGGGGAAGAGAGCTACTCTTCCTTGGAGACTCTAAGAGGTCGAGTACAAGCTCAACTTAATAGCTGGATGGTGACCAGTTAAATCTTTGCCTGCTTCAACCTGGATGACTTGCAGAGAAATTGGTCAGAATTAATGCTGACTTCCCCAATTCACCTCCAGAATATGCCATCTTCCCCAATTACTATCACCCCGAGACAGGATAGTAAGTATATCTAAACTTCAATGGAAATCTCGGAAAGGCTCATGATGTTCTCTCAAAGCTGCAATTGGGGTCTTTTTGCACAGATCTAATGGTGTCTTGGTTTGGGTGTATAGTGGCCCTTCCAAGGCAGAAGATGCAGCTGAATCAGAGATTCGAGCTCTCCTTGAAGGTCCCAGAATCACCGAAAAGCAGCAGTTTGGGCCCCTAGCAATGGAAGGCAACTCAAGAAATTCAATAAAATGGACATCTGGACATGCCTCTAGACCCTGGAAGCTCTCCCACTTGTTAGAAATTTGTGAGGTATCCTCCTGTTTGCAATGTAGCTTCAGATGGCTACCCAGAGAGTTAAATCAAGCGACAGATTATTTAGCAAAATCTGGGTTGGGAAGGGAATGTTTGTATAGTTCCAAAAACAATGCCAAGTATTTATGGACTTTGGTTCTGTATTTTTTTTGTAATCAAGGCCTTTGTACCCCCCCCCCCTTACTCTTTAATGAAATCAGCTAGCTTCTCTCAAAAAAAGTATGAAAAGGAAATTACAGACTCCATCATCTACCAACACCAACCATAAAGCTGACAAACTCCATCATCTACCAACTTTTTCTTGGTAACAGATCAAGCTTTGTTAATGAAATCCAAAGAAGGAATAGCAGTCATACATAGCCTCTTTGAAGGAGGGAACCAAAGTATAAAACACCTACAAATAAGCTCTAGAGTCTACCCTTGTGGACTCCCAATAGAAAGAATTCATGTGTATCTCACACCTAGCTGGTCAATTAGCTACATAATTAACTGATCTTCTAATCCTTCTGAACAATATGTCCATTGTGATGGTTAGAGCACCCACCTCTCTAATGGCATGTACATACAGGAGATTATGGGGTGTTGCCTTGTCATTTTGTGCTTTAAAAGGCCTGTGACTGTGAGGACCATGAATGAGCTATGTTACAGTGGGGAGACTCCAAGCCTAACTTAGCAATATGTGCACAAAATTTTCACTCTGTACAAGAGGCAGTACCTTTCATTTGGTAATAAAGATCAGAGTTATAAACAAAGGATTCTCATATTTCAGATGCACCAATAAAGAAATGGAGTTCTAGAACTTCTAGCAAAACAAGTGATGCTAAAAGAAACCAATAAAAATAAATACTATATTACCAAATAATTGCATCTATATATCAATTAAAAAAAATAACTTGAATAGCATTTTGTCCACTACGCTAACCAATTAGCATAGAGATAACAGCAATAAAAATAAATCAGACAACATTAGTGCAATCTAATATTCCCAACCAAATTCTACAATATTTATTGCACTATTGCTTTTTAACAGAGAAAAAAGCCTACATCAAGGAATATTTACATGAATATCTGAAACAAAAAAAAAAAAGAAAAATGATCTCAAGGATGAAAACATTACTTGCAATCAAGGCACCATTATCTTCATTGTCATATACAATAGCTGCTTTGAACCCTGCATTTTGTGCCCTTCTAACTTTGTCCTCGAAGGTACATCCACCCCTGATGATCAACACGAATGGCGGCCTTGCACCTTCTTCTGTATCCATTTCATTTGTCAAGGGCAAGCATGCATCAATAGGATCTGCCACATATAATTTTCCACACTCGCCTGATCCTTTAATCGCCGGAGCTGAAATTGTTTAAAAAAGATAAACACACACTACAAAAAACTTTTAAATCCCAACTACATTGAAAACAATTAATCTACTATATTCTACAAGCATCAAAGTTCTCCTCCTGGAACAAACAAAGGATTTCATAACTTCTACCTATCTTGCATCAACAAATATACATACTCCACATCCAATTGAAGCAAATGAAGAAATCTCAATCAAGAGACAACATCAAATCGCAATAAAACAAAAGCAAGGCAATTCAACTTACCGAAGTTAGCTTCAATGTCTTCAAAGGACATAGTTAAATTGTTTGCAACCAACACCACATTCGCCGTCGCCGTGGAAGCCAGTAACCAAGGAATAATGTACAATACCACAAGAAAAGACAGCAGTTCCCCTACATACTCTTCCTTCCTAAAACCTCCAAAACCCATCTCGATCGATACCATGACGCAAATAAAGAACCAAAAATTCAAAACCAATAAAAAAACCCCAAAATCCAAACCCAAAAATCAGCTCACTCAATTCTCAAAACCCTCCAATCCCTGCAGGAAATTGTAGAAAGTTGAATCAAAACACACACCAAACACCACCAAATAAAAATATACGAAAAACCCAGAAACAAATACAAAAAGAAGAACAAAGTGGGAAACATACCTGATGAAATCAACTAATCGAAACCACGAAAGATAAAGGATATCAAGATTATTAACAATAAAAAGGAGTTTCTCTGCCAGATTCCTCTATCAATCAAAACATCAGCTTCCATGCTTCTTCTTCGAATTTTATTCTAAACAGAAGTCGAACAGGACGAGGAGTATTGGGCTCTAATAGTGGAGGTGGAGAGCTGCGCGTGTGGGCTCGAGTGGAGTGGAAAAAACCAAGAGGAACAGATACTGTGAACAACTATCTCATTTGCCAACTACGCGTTTACACTCGGTCGTGCCTATCCTCTTCCTCTCGCAAGTATATGCCATCACCACGGGCCGTGAATGCCACGGACATATTTTGGACCCTTCACCGAATTTTCATTTGCGACAAAAAAATCAGTGAACGTTCAGATTCCCATAAAGGCCCTCTCTTCGTTTTAACTTACCAAAATATCCATTTAGTAACTTCTATAAAATGAAAATTAGAATTAAAATTTAAAAAAAAAAATATCTACTAAAACCTAAAATTGCAACAAATATAATATCATTTTTTTACAACTGAAAAAAGCATTAAATTAGGTAGTGTTTGATAAACGTGGGTCTGATCGTTTGTTCTTGATTATTATTTTTTTAAGATAAATCTTTTAATTTGGAAAAATGGTTTTTAGTTTCTTCTTATCTCTTTGTAAGGGTGTAAGTATATAACTTTTTGTTTTTCAATGATATTCTCAAAAAATAAACAAAAACGAGTCAAAATGAATATTTCATAATTTTCAAAAATCGGAACGACATTCTTTACATTCAGATTTCAAATGAAAGTAAGTTCACCAATATCAATATATCTCTTAATATAATTATTGCATTTTCATATATCAAATTTCAGAGTAAATGAATAAATTCCGAAAAGTAAAAAATATGATATTTACGTCTAAAATTTGAAAATTAATAAAAAAGATTAATGGAAATCCAAACAATATTAAAAAAGGTAATTTAGAAATTTAGGGGTTTTGTCACAAATTAAATTTTAAAAAGGACAAAAACTAATCACCCTTGCCATTTGTCCGTTTCCTGTTTGTCTCCAAACGAAATAGACGGATGAAACGGGCTGCTTTGTTTGGTTGTTTTGTGAACTAAGATCCCGTGAGCCAGACGGCCCGTGTGGGTAGCACTAGCCAGCCTCAGCCGCTCACACCGCTAAACGTAAACGAGGTCCTAGTTTTAGTCCAAAAGAGAAAGAAAATCTGGTTGGATGAATTAATGCGGAGACACACCGAGAGGTCCGAGACAGACCATCGAATTCATCGGCGGTTTTGAGAAAAAATATTCTTTAAATATTCGGAGGCAGCCTAATAAGGTGCCCCAGCTACCAAGTACCAACTAAACTGGGGCCCACGAATTAAGAAAGAAATATTATCCCAATTATGTCTGGGCCCACCCAAGTGAATGATAGGAACCGGATAATCTCTTGATGGGTCTCGTTACGTTAGTGTATCAATCATCAGATAAATATATCAATTAATCCTGGCCGTTCAATCCATGATCAGGATAGCCTGTTTCTTTTCTTCGAACAAGTGAATGGCCAATACCAATCTCACGGTTCAAACGTTTCTGGAATGTGGAACCGATGGTGTGCGAACAATTGACATGGAGAACCACCAAAAACGATAGATTGTCGGTACACTGTGTGAATTGTCATGAAAAGAACCTCAACCGATAACGTTGTCTTTTGATAAACTGGTGATTGGGTCATTACCAGGACCAATGAGCCTGTCCTTCCAACGTTAAAATTGGTAAACTATTATTTTTTATTTTTTAATAGGATACTAGTCATGATCCATGAGATGTACGTATTTTATTTAGGCTCAGTTTGGAAGGAGTATAAATACAAATATGTAAATTACAAAATAATACAATCTAGGTTGCATTATAGTTAGAGTGTCCAATTTTTTATGTTTTAGATAATTTTGTATTATTTTTATTAAATTTTATTAGTTATTATTTTTAGGTAAAATTATGAAAAGCATCCTCTTATAAAAATTTATAAATTACCTTTGTGTTTTGAACCTAATAAAGTCCTTTCTTATAGTTTTGAAAAAAAAAAAGTGAAAATTCCTCTTTTCCCTTGGCTTTTTAGTAATAAGACATTATAATTACCAAAATACCCTTATTATTATTAAGGTATTGTTGTACGTAATTTAAAGTTTCAACTTTATTCATAACTAATTTATTTTATCACACACTCAAAGTAAAAAGGTTGAAGTAAAAGGAAACAAGTTGTTTTAATAAATTATATGTGAATGAAATTAGTTAAGGGTAAATTTAGTACTTAAAAAAATAATGCATTGCATCAGCATTTTTGTTGAGGTCAAAACACAAGGGAGTTTTGTAGCATTGTTAGAAAATCCAAGGAGGTTTTTGTATTTTTTTCCTTATTTTTAATGGAATTTAAATTGATTTTAAATTAATTGAGCTATATTTAAAATTAATAGTTTGTTTTTATTAATCCTTATTAAATTTAATTAACTATATTAAGTTTTTTTTTCAATTGAGCTTAAGTTGGTTTTGAATTAGTAAAAATTAATTACAAAACTAATAATTGATAGTTTTGTATTAATTTTAAATTAATATTAGTTTTTAATTTATCTTATTCCTTTTTATTAATTAATTCATATCAATACAAATGATTAACAATCATTTTTATTTCATTTAAGTAACTTATTATTTTTACTAGGTTAATTAATTTTTATTATTTTCAAATGGAGTATAAATGGGTTATAATTTTTATGATGTTTAATTCAATGTTTTCAACTTGTTATTGATTCAGATAGTTGAACCATTCAAGCCACCATTCAACTCTATTTCTAATTTCAGGTTTCCTGAAACTCACCCTGTTCAACCCAAGTGGTTGAGCCATTGACCCTTTTGACCTGGTCATTGGGTTACAAGTTACAATTTACAATGTATTGAAAACTCTTGGAAATTTTAATTTTGTGCTCAATTGTCTAATTCGGAATGATCTTTTTTATATTAGATAACTTTTTACGATCTTTGCAGTCCCACTATACAAAAAAAACAAAAAAACAATTGTTTGGCCTTAAATTTTAGTTTTTGGCTCTTATATTTATGAAAAATTAGAAACAACTAGACGTCATATTGTACATATATAGATAGATGATGTGTCAAAATTTGACTCATCCAACCAAGGCATTTGAATCATTAACATATGGCCTAGAAGCAAAAACTATTTAGCCTCCAAGTTAATTTTAAAACACTAATTTTATTTATTGGGTGAAGTAAGTAATATTTATTTTAAAAAGCAAATTACTAAAATCAACTATCTTTTAAATGGAAGTAGATTATTTAGCCTAATAATATATCATTTAATATCTTCATTTCAATATAATTAAATTAATATTTATTAATAATTATAATTTAATGTAAATATATCTAAGGTATATAAAATTGTAGTTAAATTGAAATGGATAAAGATACAAATAAAGTTAATGAATTTTAGGCAATTTATTGGAGTAACTAGTCAGGGTCCGTGCGATGCACGAGCTTTATTGATAAGCAAAACTGAAGATGGAGCTCTATGACATTTCCAATTAAGTGGTATCCATCTAAGTTCAATTCAACTATTATTTTTTGGGGTTATGTCTAGTTTATCCAATCACAATCTAAGTTGCGCTTTAGTGAGAACATCCAATTTTCTATTCTTTGGATAATTTTGTATTATTTTTTTGTATCTTAATGCTAGTTTTCTTTTTTTTTTGAAAAAGATTTTTTATAAATTTTATTGGTTTATTATTATTTTTAGGTAAAATTATAAAAAGCATCATCTTAAAACAATTCTATAAACCACCTTTGTGTTTTGACTATAACAAAGGCATCTCCTATAGTTTTGAGAAAAAAGTGCAAATACCTCATTTCCCTTTGCTTTTTGGTAATAAAGGCATTAAAGTTACCAAAATACCCTTATCATTGTTAATGTATTATCATACATAATTTAAAGTTTCAGCCTTACCCTTCACAAATTATTTTTCCGAACAACTTTTAAAGAATAATTCTCCTTACCCTTCTTGGACAAAGTAAGATAAAAAGGCTGAAGTAAAGTAAAATTAATGCATTACATTAACATTTTTTATTTGGAATGTTGACGAAATGAAGGTATTTGCACCTTTTCTCAAAACAATAGGGCATGTTTTGTTAAGGTCAAAATACTAGGGAGTTTCATAGGATTGTTAGAAAACCCAAGGTGGTTTTTATAAATTTACTTATTTTTATATGGAATTTAAATTGATTTTAAAATAATTAAAATTAATATTTTTTATTATTTTTTGAAATTATTAAAAAATGAAATTATTTAAGTATATTATGTTTTTATTAAATTTAAATTCCTTATGAAATCTATATAATTTTTTTTAGTGGATCTTAAGTTGGTTTTAAATTAATAAAACCAATGATTATTTTATAATTTTCTATTAGTTCTATATTAATTTTAAATTGATATTTCCTTATGGGTCTTCCCTAGTTGAAGGAAAATATTCATTAACCACTTTTTGAAATCTAAAAAATTCTGGGCATAATTTGGGTTGATGCCACAGCCTAAGCCCAACCAAATGCATCTTGACTTATCACATAGTAGCAAAGCATGTAGAATGGATTCAGGGTCCTTCCCACATCTTTCACAAGTACTAGAGATTTTTAATCATCTTTTTGCCAAATTTTCTTTGATTGCTAATCCATTGACACAACATCTCCAAAGGAAATGTTTGATTTTTGGTTCAATTGGGAGACCCCAAACAAGTTTCCAAAATTTTTTATTCTCATCTTGAGTTGATTCCCCATTATTTTCTTGGATTTCATCTTGTATTTGTTTTGTTAGGAAATAAGCAGACCTCACTGAGAATTTTCCATTCTTACTCCCTAGCCAAATTAATTTATCACCCCATGGGTTCGAGGGAATCTCCATTTCTGTGATTTTTTGGGCAAAAGCAGGGGGAATACAAGAATTTATTTTTCAGTGTTCCAGCTTCTATTGTCTTGATCGATTAATTCTGCCACTCTAAGGTTCTCACTATTTTCTTGCCTTGGCCCCATTATTTTGAAACCATTTATATTTGGAATCCATGGATCATCCCAATGAAGGTTGGCTTCTGAGCTTTGCATGGGTAAAATGGTGCTCAGGATAATATTTTGCTTTTAGAAATCTTGCCCATAAGCTTGTGGTATTAGAACAGAGTCTCCATGCTAATTTGGCAAGTAGAG